GTGCATCATCTGGTCATGGCAACAGTACATCCAGCACATTAAATCTGAGTTACTTTGTACTGCAAAGATTGCTAAGTGTGAAAAGTTCCCCTTAAACCAGTGGTCCCCAACCTTGGGCCTCCAGATGTTCTTGGACTTCAACTCCCAGAAATCCTGGCCAGCAGAGGTGGTGCTGAAGGCTTCTGGCAGTTGTAGTCGAAGAACATCTGGAGGCCCAAGGTTGGGGACCACTGCCTTAAAACTCCTCCCAGTACTAATACTGGGACTAAACTAGAAGTGAGGATTTCAACTCCCAATTCAAGTCGTGGTATTTCACATTTCTAATTAAATTACTGGGGGAGGTATTTTTCAAAGGGGAGAACCAGTAAAAACAAATACACAAAAATGTTAAAAACCAGTGTTTCCAGTGAGAGGATCAATAACAGTGACCCAGCTTCCATGGAAGAAAGCAACTTATTCACCTCTGCCAACCTCCTCTTGAAAATCTAGGCACTATCCTTCAACACAGTCACTCAAGTTCACAGGCAGTGACAATGAAGACTGATCCGTTAAGCTGAAACTATGTAATTGCTGGGTGCGGCACTCCATAATGGGCCGGAAAATATGCCTTCAACACCCAAGGTTATGTACAGACATATTGACCGCCTCAGTCACCAAATCAAAGTGCAAAGGGCTCTTGAACATGGGATGCTTCAAAGAAACCTACTCAGTTCAACACTCCAATGAATTAAAACCTAGCTTGAGGCAAAAATCTTGTGCATCTCCTCAAAGTAAACTCAGTTGAGTTGACATTTAAACTTATTCTGTATGTCTCCATCTCATACTCCAGTCTGTGCCTATTTCATTTTAATCTTCCCCCTGGTTTCTCTCTCTCTCTCTCTTTTTGACACAGTGCCTTGCCAGTTTGTGATTGCAATGCATTTTCTTTAAGTACCTGCCTTTGGAGATAGCCCAAGAGAGTAGGCCGACTGCCAAAAAGACGAACTCAAGCCCTTTATGTCCACTTCTGAGAGAATATCCAATTGCAAGGAAAGTCTGAAAACAAGCCACCAAAAGCACTTGTTTTCAGCAAGGGGATATGTAGGAGAGACTGTGCAACTAAAGCAGCAATTTGTATTACATTCTTGCATATGGCCGGAAGAAAGATGGGAATGTTAAAAGGAAAAAGCCAGAGCGAAAGAGAGAGAATGGCTCCATAAATATCACATTGCGAACAATACAGCTGTCTTTCCTGGACTAGTAAAGCTAAAGAATCTTTAAATACTTAGTAGAGACAAAGGGAAGCGGTTAATGAAATGGCTGTAACAGATAGCTCTTCTGTGCATTTTTGCAAGGTTGATGTTGAAAAATACAGGGAAATGAAGTGATAGGAATAAAAATTATGTGCCAAATCGTGCACCATTACATTATAGGTGGTATGATGTCAAACTGAATTACACTACAGTAGGTTCTCCAGAAAAGCTTGTAAAATCAACAGTGCTAATGAGAAAGTGAACAAGATGGTACAGATGGAACTCAGCCTTTTTATGTGTACTTCTTACTAGTATTATATTCATGACTTTGGAGAGTTTTCTTCCCCCCACCCCAGGAATTATACTTATGCCAGGTGGACAAATTGGTCAATTTCACTTCTCCTTCATTATTATTAGTCTAAATTTCAAGTTCTTTCCACCCCAATATAAAGAATTTTGCAACTTTCACTATATTCTTATGAAAAATGAAATAAAATGCTTCACTCTCCCTCAATAGCAGCTGTATGAGCTGCATTATCTAGCAGTGGCATCAAAAACTTACGGCAGTTTGTTGCCTCCCTTGGGAATTGTGACACTAATGAATAAGTGCTTTATTTAAACATAAACCAGCAACTTCTCCCTTTATTTATGGCAATGGCCTTGTGATATGTGTATCATTATGCTCCAAGATGAGAAACAACCAGATAACTCTGTCTGGCCCATCAGTGCTTTCTCTTTAAGTATTAAGACTTAAAAAAAATGTTCCTCCACTATCACAAGCATCTAAGGGGAGGCTTGCCTTTGGCCTTTGCTTGACAATGAGGCCAGCTACATTTCTAAGCTTAGTGTAATCCTCATAAGGAAGAGGTTAAGCAAGGTGGTTAAAGCCAAATGTGGAAGGGGGGGAGAGGAAAGAGAGGGTAGATGCAAATTTCCAATCTACTGCCTCACATTTCACTACCCTCTGGTAAATATGGAACAACGTCTCTCAGAGATCATAGGCCCAGACACACAAGCAACATGCTTTTTTTGGTCCACATATGTTTTCTCCCACACAACAGGATTGCATGGGGTTTTTGTAATATGTTGATGGCAACCTACAGATGTCTGCAGGAATTACCCCCCCCACACACACACAAACTTCTTGGGGCTTTAATCATGAAAAGAAAGCCCTGGCAAGTTTTTTAAAAAGTTCTTAGCTAATTACTCTGGCAGCCATTTTCCGTGGAGAAAACAGGCAAATGGGTGGCCAGGGGTAAGATCTGTGGATGTAGTAATTTCTGCCCATTAGGTTCTCCGCAGGACATCTCAACAACAACAACAACAACAACAACAACAAATAAATAAATAAATAAATAAAAACAACCGTACCAGACTATAATCCTCTACATCTCCCAAAGGAAAGAAGGAACAAAGATTGCTAACTATGAGACCACTGAGTTCACACATTCAGTGTTCAAGTGGGAGGAGAGTGTAAACATTCAGAAAAAGATTTACTGGGTGCTTTAAAATAAGAGGCAATGTTTTAGCATTCTGCATGGCTATTTTACCTGTCCCCTCACAACCAGAATCCATGCTGCATTATCTATATTAACTGTTGCAGACCGCAGAATTCATGTCTCAGAATTCAGTGCTGAGGGGAAACAAACAAAAAGTCAAGAGTGGATCACTTCTGGAGTTACATTAGATACAGAAATAAAATGAATAATGTGTGTGTGTGTGTGTGTGGGGGGGGTGATAAATCAATTCATGTCAGTAGGATAAAACCTGAAGCTTTCAGAGGAGCTGAAAAGGTCCCCCATTTCTCATGTATGTTGTTAACAAAGCCTGCACAGACCAGCTTCCTCAAGAAGGAAAAGGAATGTTTAGCGAACGTTTTCCACTACACGGCATATCCCTTGGCATTCAGATGTTTGTACCCAGCGCAGATCACGTGCATCTCTGGACACAAAAGAAACCAGGGAGAGATCAAGCAAGGCCAAGAATGAATTATTGATCCACAGATAAAAGCCAGGTAGTCTGTTCTAAAAATGCATATCAGAACAAGGCAAGGTAGCTTGGACCATTTTTTTAAAATAAAAATAAATCACTGCATAAAAAAAGGGCAGGACATTTTGCATAAGTTATCACCAACACATGAATACATCATTCTATCTGGTGAATAAATATAATTGCAACCCCAGCCTTCTAATAGAGGCTGCTGTGTCTCTGTATTGTTATTCTTCCCCAGCCCAGAAAAAATATTCATTTCAGGAGCAAGCAAGCAATAGGGTGGTGTGGAAGGACAGTCACAAAGTAATCAGCAAATCTTTTGTTTAGAGTGTGGGATTGAAAATTCTCACCATGCTACAAAGGAGGATGCTTAAAACCACACATCCCAGCTGATTCTACAACCTAAGGCTGAACTCACCTCATAGAAGCAGAGTCAGCATAGACATCCTTTTTGAGACCTACAGTTTTTCTGTGCTGTCCATGAAAGGTTGGTGCCCAGCCTGAAAAAGTAGGGTTTTACTCACAAAAGCTTGCAATGTGTGTGATTTTTTTAGTGGTTCAATAAAGGTATCACCTTACTCTTGCATTTGTGTAATCATGAAGCCCATGGCTTTTCACCATTCTTTGTGGTCAGAAAAAAAGTTGTAGCTGTTTGCAGCTGTTAGGAATACTGTATAGACGTTTCCAAGATTCTGTTTTGTGCCAGTGTCTTAGAACTGTGTGTATGTTTGTCTACACATAGAAGACCTCTCACACACCTTAAGGTTCACTGCAATCTATAAACCCTTTGCCCTACACATATACCACAATTTGTAAGTACAGTGGTGCCTCGCAAGACAATTTTAATTCATTAGGTGAAAAACATCGTCTTGTGAAAAAAATCGTCTTGCGAGGTTCCCTATGCATCGGTCTCAAAAAAAAAAAATCTTGAAAAGCATGGGTCTAAAAAAAAGTCTTGTGAAGAATGGTCATAGAAAAAAAAGTCTTGCGAGGCACCATAGTGATCACAAAAACCAATCGTCTTGCGGGTTTTTCGTCCCACGAGGCAATCGTCTAGCAAGGCACTACTATAATGGGTATTATTTCATTATTGTTCCAAATCTAAGAATAGCAGTGATGTTCTTTCAGGCTGAAAGGTAGGCTTCTGAAAGAAAGTCTGTTCTCCCAAGACAACAAGACCATACTCAGATCCCTTTTGAAGCTGCTTAACAGCCAAGGGAAAACTTCCCAGTAATGAACTTTGCTGCCGTGCTACATCAGAAAGGTCCAAGGCAGTGGGGGATGTGGGAGACAGAAACCTGAAAGCTGAACATGCTGTAAGAAAGTCTCAGCTGGAAAAGCATAGGGAGCAGGGAAGGCAGTGGTGGCAGACAACTCCAGATGTCATATTCTACTCTTGTATGTCCAAAGAGATATGGTACAGTTGGGAATTGCCTCATTATTTTGCTCACAATTGCTTAGAGGGAGCCCAGAAGTCAGAACCCATTGAGACTAAACCTCTAAACACTTCTGAAAATATTTACCAATATGTTTTATTAGTAGAGAGGCAACATAAGAATCTGCTATATTGGACCCAAACCAGGGGTGGCAGGATACTCAGTGTCAGCACCCACTGCAGCTTTTCTGATATATGTGCACTTATAAGCCACACCAGGGTAGACCAACTCTTCCTGAAACAGGTACAGGTACATGGGTAGAACATGCCATAGTTATCTCCCTTTCATAGCAGTAATGCAACTGTGCTCTAGAGATACTTTTCATGGTAAAGCATTTTTGAAGGTGTCGGAGCTGGAGGACAGGATCTGTTTGGAGAAGCACTGCATCTCAAGGTAGATACAGTTGATGAGATTCCCAGTATTCCTGGAAGCACTGTTGTATGTTCCTTCCAAATTTTTACAAAGCGGGCTTTATTCTCTGCCAAAAAATCAGAAAAAGGCAAGCCTACAAAAAGGGCCTATGAAAGCAACACACACACACACACATTTATCCGAGCCATCAAATGCCATGTTAGAGTGAACAAATCTAAAACCTCTATTTCTTCTTCTTTTCAAAATATACCCCTTGTATATCTTGTTCTTGTCTTGCTGTTTGTTCTAGAGTTTTGAACAGGGTAGTCATATTCTCTAACTATAAGGATCATTATTTATTTGTATATTGAATTTTCTGTGAATATCTAGTTCAGCCTATTCTGTCTGGGATGATTTCCAACCACATCCTACTGCAGAAACCCATCAGTTATCTAAAATGGAGCAGAGGATTACCACTGCAATCAGAAATTGTACTTTCCCCCCTCTAACATAGTGCTAGGAAACTGGAGGGAAAGAAAAGAAAAAGAAATGCTTTGTTAATATTCAGATCTATTCAACTCCATTTCAATTTGAATTCTGTGCATAAGATTAGACAGAATCAAATGCAAATGTATACAAATGCACCCGTAAGAAGGAAACAAACAAGGGAGTTATGCATAATGGGATTAGACTCAGGATCAGTTTCTGTCCAGGGTGGGTGTAAAAGAAGAGTCTCTGAAGGATGAGGACTTTTGTTTGGGAGCTTGGGCAGTTTAATCTTTATTGGGAACTTGTTGCAAATCAGGCAACTCCGGATGTGAGATGACTTGAAGGCTTCTACTATCTATTCTGCAACTCTGATTGACATGTTAGGAAGACAGATTAAATGCAGAACAACCAAGGATAGGACATGCATCAACCAGAAAAACTGGGCAGTATGTATTAACAATGCCAGAAACATTTTATGACAAGCAGATATACTGACAACTTAGACAATACTATGGCAAACATCAACAAGATCTGGGTTTGCAGCGCTGGTTAGAAGTAGGGATACTTGAGCCATTGCGTATTAAACCTTAAATCGTCCTGATCCATCCCTTCATTCACCAGCTTTAGCACTTTCAGATTACACCAATGTAATTCTCAGCTCAAGAAAGAAGAACATACTTAAGTGCATTTTAAAATGTGTGTATCTGCAAAACTACGTACCTATAATCAATTTTTCATCTTTTAAGGTAGAAAGGTCATGAGTGAACAAAGTGTGAAAATGACACATAGTGACATGTAGTTTTGTTCATGTTGAAATGCCAGAAAGATTCTCAAGACATTTTGCTGTTCAAGGCAAAGGACAAGATGGCAATTCTCCATCCCATGTATAGAGGAGGATTGTTAATTGAACCTTCTTTCAACATTAGCAATGGGAGAAGTAGCTTAGTGTAAGGATAGTCTCTATACTGCATGCTAGCTGGATAGCTGTTTAGGTAGTTATTTATAGAGCCAGAGGTTGGGAGTCTGATTCCCCACTCTGCCTCCTACAAGTACAGCAAGCATGTGAGGCCTTGGACAAGCTACAGTCTCGGCATGCTCCCAGATGTAGGGAATGGTAAACCACTTCTGTGTGTTCTCTACTTGGAAAACTCTGGAAAGGGTTGCTATTGGTCAGAATCGACTTGAGGCTCATAATGGTGATTATTATATAGCGTGTACAACAATTTAGAAGTAAATGGCCAAGGGTCTGAGGAGAAACAATTTGGGATGCCCAAGATTGGTTGATGTCTGTTGTGAGCATATAATCCTCGGATCTCTGCAACACACAAGATCAACACACAAGATGACTTCATTACTAGCTGCCTCACATTGCCTAATGGTATGAACAGCCTGTTAAAATCCTATTATCCATGCATGGCCTTCAGGGTCAGAGTCTCTATAGACTAACGTCATGATCACAACAGTCTTGATGGCTGCCAGATCCAAAGATTAGGAATAAGGGTGTGTTAGGGAAGTCTATTGCCGGAAGAAATATCAACAACCTCCGATATCCAGATGATATCACTTTGATGGCAGAAAGTGAGGAGGAATTAAAGAACCTCTTAATGAGGGTGAAAGAGGAGAGCGCAAAAAATGGTCTGAAGCTCAACATCAAAAAAACTAAGATCATGGCCACTGGTCCCATAACCTCCTGGGAAATAGAAGGGGAAGATATGGAGGTAGTGACAGATTTTACTTTCTTGGGCTCCATGATCACTGCAGATGGTGACAGCAGCCCCGAAATTAAGAGACGCCTTCTTCTTGGGAGGAAAGCGATGACAAACCTCAACAGCATCTTTAAAAGCAGAGACATCACCTTGCTTACAAAAGTCCGAATAGTCAACGCTATGGATTTTCCTGTAGTGATGTACGGAAGTGAGAGCTGGACCATAAAGAAAGCAGACCGCCAAAGAATTGATGCTTTTGAATTGTGGTGCTGGAGGAGACTCTTGAGAGTCCCCTGGACTGCAAGGAGAACAAACCTATCCATTCTAAAGGAAATCAACCCTGAGTGCTCACTGAAAGGACAGATCCTGAAGCTGAGGCTCCAATACTTTGGCCATCTGATGAGAAGAGAAACCTCCCTGGAAAAGACCTTAATGTTGAGAAAGTGTGAAGGCAAGATGAGAAGGGGATGACAGAGGATGAGATGGTTGGACAGTGTCATCAAAGCAACCAGCATGAATTTGACACAACTCCAGGAGGCAGTGGAAGACAGGAGGGCCTGGCGTGCTCTGGTCCATGGGGTCATGAGGAGTCGGACATGACTAAATGACTAAACAACGAGGGAAGTCTATACTTGTTAAAAATGCACAACATTCAAGGAGCTTGCCAGATGCACCAATCTCAGGACTCAGTTAAGTCTTGTACCTTTATTCTGTTTCCTTCATGCACTTAGGAAATTTGACTGGCCCTGGCATATAGAGAATTAGACCATTGGTTCATCTAGCCAGGTTTTTCAAACAACCCTACTAGCAGAGAAAAACCGATGATTGAACCAAGAGCTCCTGGCATGAATTTTCCCCCCATGGTTACAAAAGTGCACTTCCTCTGAAACACTTCTCTTGCAGATAAAAGCACAAATGTCAAATCCCACACATACCACAAACAAAAAAAATTGCTTCCAAGTCAGATGAGAGGTGGCAGAAATGCTTTCTGCTTCATGTGCAAAGCTCTCATCCCCATCCTTTTAATACCAAACATTTTCATTTGAAGTAAATATCTATTTTCAATTAGTGCACATTTTAAGAGCGACATGCATCATTTAAAATGTCGGTTGTCTCTTCCCGTCATTATTAGATGTGGAATCATTGAAGTTTAACTAACAACATTTTAAAAGACTTTTGTCTTAGAATGACTATACTAATCCACCCCTGCATTCCTCCATGAAACTGAGACTTTCTTACTTATTAGTAAGAAAATGAAATATGACAAAGATTTGTTCCCTGGTTAATCTACCATGATGTTATCTGGCCACTAGTTTATTAGTGATACAGCGCTATTAATACTTTCCAGTCTTCTCTTGTTCTCCTTAAGATATGCTAGCTACAGTACAAGTAGAATGTTTCTAAGTGTGGGAAAATGGGTTTTCTTAAGCTAAACAGTCCAATGTATTTCAGTCAATGAGCTATTTTGTGGTCTTCTTAAAGGGCAATGAACTAGGAGTGTTACAGTAATATCTGTTAGCTCAGTGGTTTCGCTGGGAGTTTGATTCCCACTGGGCCTCCTGACAGAGGCTGGTCCTCTTGTATGGGAGATTATTATCTTATTACAATCAGTTTCCAAGTTTCCGTAAGTGTAAAGCAAAGTTTGGAAATGGGTTATCAAAGAAGATGACAAAGTAACTAACTGGCCAAAACATTTTGATCTGTTTTACTGTACTGTGTAAAAGCATTTTCTCTCCCCCCCCCCATGCATCTCAAAACTCAGTTTCTCTTTCCACACAAGGTTTCATTAGATGTTTTATGTTTATTTTGTTTCCGATATGCCATCTGACCCTTGCACTTACTAACACACACTATCTTTTAATACTGATTAAGAAGATCATAACTCTGATGAACATGGAGTTTGTTACTGATTCTTAATCCAGACACCATGTGATATCAGGGGTTTAGACCACAACATGCAATAGGGATGTGATAACTGTTTGTTTTTGGAACAACATATCCAATAATTCCCTCATCCTGAGAGTTCTACTTTTAGACACTTAAATATAGCTCACCTGGGAGAAAAGACCTAAACTATGGATTTGTCTCCGAGTCCTGGATGCATTTGCACAGTTAAAAGATCATCAGGAGAGGCCTTTCTCTCAGTCCCACCACCTTCACAGGTGTGTTCAGTTGGGGGCACAGGAGGGGGCCTTCTCTGTGGCTACTCCCAGACTATGGAACTCCCTTCCACAGGAGGCCAGACTGGCCCCATCTTTGCTGTCCTTTTGCAAGCAAAGACTCTTCTCTCACAGAGAGGCTTCCCCCTTTAGCGACTGGCTGTCTGAGAGGGTTTTTTAAAGGGAGTGTTGATTTGATTCTGTTTTTGGTGTTCATTTTGTTTACCATGTTCAACATGGCGTTTGTTTGATTCTTTTTAAATATTTGTGTATGTTCTGTTTTGGACTTTTTTTAATGATATAAGCCACCTTGGATCCTTTTAAAGGAGAAATGCAGGGCAAAAGTATTTTAGATAGCAAAGAAACAAACAAATAAAGGCGTTGAGGCTTAACTAGGCCTAGGTCTGCATAGCTTCCTATCCAGAAAGAAAGTTCCCAGCCAGCACCAGGTTATAAACAGAAAGTTTGAGGGTAGCCAAGCGACCCCCATGGCACAGTGGTTAAACTGCAGTACTGCAGTCAAGCTGGCAGGCTCAGATAGCCAGATCAAGACTGATTTAGCTTTCAATCCTTCTGAAATTGGCAAAATGTGTGCCCAGCTTGCTGGGGGGTGGGGGTGAAGTGTTCTTTAATAATTATGTTGTTAACTGCCCAGAGAGGGCTCTAGAACTAGGGGCAATATACAGTGGTGCCTCGCAAGATGAATATTTATTTATTTATTTATTAAATTTATACCCCGCCCCTCTAGACCATATCTACTCGTGGGATGAAAA